TCTCATTTCCTCTCTGCTTAAACCGCTGAAGCAGAAACGAGACTTCAACGTTTTCCATCATCTGACCAGCAGCAGGTCTGCTCCACTTTATTCACCAAAAACTGATCTGTAATCTGAATGTTCGCTACGTTCAGCTCCAGTTAGCCGCCTTATCTCACTGTGGAGAGGCAACTGGGTCATGTGTCACGGGCAAAAGGTCAAAGGTCACAAGGTGCCTGGAGGGCTTATTATGTACAAAAAAACAAATAATTTTAGTACATGTTGTTATGTGTCAGAAGAGGGCTTAGGAAATAATACAAAAAAAAGAATCTGAGACCAGCACGTCCTCCTCTGACAGGCTTATCAAAAATAAGATCCTAAACGTTTGAAGCTTAATTACCTCCTTGTGTAGATCAGCTCCCCAGAGCCTTGCTAACGACCTAATTATTCTATTCAGGTGGTGCAGCAGAGGCACATCTAAAAGCTGCAGGACAGCGGCCCTCCAGGACTGGAGTTTGACACCTGTGCTTTAGATCAGTGGTGCTGCGTCCTGGAGGCCCGGCATCCTGCAGGTTTTAGTCTCTCCCTGGTTTGGCACACCTGGATCAAATGGTGGCTCGCTAGAAGACCTAAGAGGAACATTGACAAGCTGAAAAGGTTGTTGCTGCCACCAGGGAGAGAACAGGATGCCGGGCCTCCTGGACCCACTTTGGGCACCCCTGCTTTAGATGGTCCACAAAAATTACACAATACATTATATTTTACAAGCCAACAGGCTACATTTAAAATTACACATGCTGAGGTGAATTAAACGGACTAAAACGTTTTAAGGAAACAACAAGTCTTTGTATGTCAATAAAAACCAGATTCCTCTCTGTAAACTGTAAAATAATATTTAATTTTACCTGTGGCTTTCTAACTATTGACCTACCTATTTTCCCCCTAAAAGAAATCTGACTGTAAAAAGCTAAAGACAACAGATGTATTTAGAGCTGCAGTTTGTAACTTGTATAAAACTTTTTTTTATATAGTGTTTAAAACTGTCTCCATGTTGTGACAGTATAATATGAAACAGATATCTGTGAAAAGTTTGATCTCCTTCCTGAGTTACTGTTGCCATCTGAAGAAATGTCAAAAACAACCAATCAGCGTCAGGAGGCGGGACTTAGTGCTGTAAATCATCCTCATATATGCGCTGATTTTATGCCGATGGGCAGAAACGACTTACTGACACAGGAAAACTGTTTATCCACCTTCATCTTGTCAGTTACATTGTAACAGAAAAACAAATGAACTTGTTTGTGGTTATTTTGTTGTTCAGACAGAAATCATTTGTTTAACCAGAATCATGAAACATAAACTACAGAATTTGGCAGTTTAAATGTGATGCAGTCAGTAACATTTCAATGTCATATTTTTATGTGACTGTTTATATTTATAAAACATAATTAACACAAATTTAATGTCATTCATCTGTGTGGATGGAGAGAAATCAGGACAGGAAGCAACATGTCGCTCTGATATTAGTTTAAAGTCAAGAAAATCCTAAGTGATAAAAAAAATATGCATTTATTTTTAGGGTGAATCAGCAGGATCTGTAATTTGCTTAAAGCTGTTTGTAGCAGCTAAGATCCTTTAGGCTACTGGTGGTTGTTCATGAAAAGCGTTGGTTTTACGTGCGCTCAATTAAGATTTAGAATGCCGATCTTCAGTTTGACATAAAATAAAGTCATTTATTGTCAGAATAGTGTCCATTATCTTACTATTTCCTGTTTGCCTCTGACTATTAACACCTGAACAGAATCATGGTTGACCTTAAATAACCCATCCCCCATCAGACACTCAGAACTCAAAATTAAATACGCCCCCTGGTGGCCATAGACACCAGAAAGGATAAATGGCTCCTCCACTGTTAAATGTTAGACCGTGTGGATTGGAGAGCAGAGGCCTGACCCGGTCAGCAGCGATCTGAAAACAGTGTTGCAGTCTGAGAGACGACATGGATCCGTTTGTATCCACATTCTGACCTCATGTCACAACGCCACATTTCCACATCACAGAATGAATCAAGCCCTGGATGACGCTGTTGCATTTATTTGAACATTTTTATTATATTATTGCACAAAGTTTTGTATAATATGTTCGCTTGAACCTTAGACTGAGAATCCATTTTACCCACATTAGGAAATGTAGCTGAAAAATGGATATCACAGCAACTTGTTTGTCATCTTAATAATTACACATTTTCAGTTCTGGTTCTGACCCAAACATTTATCAGCAGAATGAGTTAGGCAGCTGCTTAGGGCCCCCACACCACCAGGGGGCCCCCAAGAGCACCAAGCTAGCATGACGAAAATATTTAAAATAACATTGAATAATACAAACTACAAACTGTAGTAACAAACTAATTGTTACTACACATGGAAAAATAATTTCCATGATTTCCATAGTTGTTACATAAATAACGGTTAATCTCTGAAACAGATATAAAACTTCTTAACCTGTTAACTGTAAGCTTGGTGTTTATTATCATTATTTTCAAATAGTTAAACTAAGATGGCACAGCTAAGTAGCTCTCTGCATTTCTACATCCAAATAATTTTTTTTAGTTTGCTGCTCCTGTAAGGTTAAAATCAACAGCCATCATAGCGCTGGTCTAAGCCATTTACAAACAATGCTAATGTTAGCAGCTATGCTACACACACAGAGTAGCTTAAGAATGATGAAGCATCCGATGTTGACATGTTGATATGAGGCCCCCAAACAAAACCTGCTCAGGGCCCCAAAGAGGCTTGGGCCAGCCCTGTTCAATGGAGACGGCTAACTGGAGATGTTTTCTCCAGAACGTCTCGACAGAAAGGAGAGTTTTACAGGATCGATATGTCAAAGTAAATAACCGACACTCACTCTCTGGAGTCCCACAGGCCTCCATGCTTGGATCGCTGTTATTCAGCTTTGATATTAATGGACTCCGTCTGAGTGCAGACATCCACCGATATGCACATGATACTGACATCTACATACATGGATTAAAAGTATAAGATTAAAAATCACATTGGTGAAAAATTTAAATATCTCTGCATTTATCATTTAAAACATTTAGCTTTGCACATTTTGGGAATACAAGATACTGTTTGTCTAACGTGGCTGCAAGAATATTCCTGAGCTATAGTTTATTTATCACATAACTTAATGTTTAACAGCAGACCTCTGGATGGTCAGAGACCAGAAGACGTGCTGTCCTGTGGGTGAAAGGTGCAGTACACACAACCAACACCAGGGGTGGGGGGGCAATACTGATGATTTCATGTAGAAATAATTTTTTTAAAGCTGACATCTAGTGACAGTCACAGACGACGGTGGGCAAACAATTCTCATGCAGCTGTAAGTTGTTTCTTAGCAGCGTTTACACAAGTTGATTAACAGCACCAAGACCCTCCTCCTGGCTCTGATTGGTTGTTTCTGACAGAGAGCTGCATTACTGCCAATGACATGGAGAAGATTGATTTTTTTCCCCACAGATTTTTTGTAAAACATTTTTTTTAAAAACGTTACATTCTGCAGCTTTGAGCTTGTTTGGTTCCCCAGTTGAAGGTTGAATGTTTGTAGATCTTCAGTGTGAAGTTCAGCTGCTGCAAATAACCTGAATATTAAAAAAACTTTATTTTTACTAAATGGAAGCAGCAACTTCATCCAGGATGCAGAGGAGGAGGAGGAAGAGCAGGGGGCGGAGTCAGTCCCTGGGGATAAAACTCTCCACAGAGAATCAGACGCTCAGAGTCAACCGAGCCGGCAGAGCAGAGACAACCAACCAGAACGGACCAGAACCGACGGGTCACAACTCCTCCTCCTGCAGCGCCTCGGTGAGTTTCTGCTCAGACATTCAGAGGAAAGTTCAGATGAAGCCAGAGGGAGACTGACTGCAGATTAACTACAGATTAACCACAGATTAACTACAGATTAACCACAGATTAATTACAGATTATCAGGAGTAACAGAGTAACGGGCTGCGGCCATGGGGAGGAGGAGGTGAGTGTTTCCCAGAAGCGGCTCTGGTTCTTCTTCAGGTCTGACTCCGTGTTTTCAGCCTGACTCGGATGATCTGGGCCGACTCCGAACCAGAACCTTGATGGCCTGGTAGGTTTAGTTTGGCTTTGGATCAGGTCAAAGGTCAGAGCTCAGCATCAGTTTTTGGCTGAATGAAGACGGACAGATGGACGTTTCAGAGCGTCTGCAGAGCTAATGACTGCGCCTGCGGTCATGTGTCTGTAGCAGCTGTGAGCTGATTGGCTGTTCAGTAAACCGCTGTGATTAAACATCTGCTGCTGGGTTAACTGTGCCCAGGGTTTGGTCTGCAGGCCCTGTCTGGCTGAAAAGGTTAAAGTTCATTGGATGAAATGTGTGTGTGTGCTGAACCCTGAGCTGTGACTAACAGGCAACTTGTTTTCCTCCTCTGTTTATTTCTGACTGATCATTGATGGAGACGTGACAGAACCACTGGGTCCGGTCAGCGGCTTCGGCCCGCCTGGCGGTCCCACTGCGTGAACAGAAAGCTGAAAACATCTCTCTGTGTGACGCCATTTCAACAAGAGCTCAGCATGAACTGCAGTAACCCCAGTTTGTTTCACAACAGCCTGAAACCCCTGACTGTCCCCAACCCACTTCCTGTCCCCATCTGAGGACAGACAGGACAAAGGGACAGGACAACGACCCCGGCCCCGCTTCAGCGCCTCCATCTGCACAATAAACACTTCTGTCGAGGTCCGACATGAAAACACCGTCTGATGAACAGAACCAGCAGATTGGAGCTTCTACCAAACATGTTTCTACAGCACTGATGCTGCTGCACATGGAAAAAAGGAGAAAATTTACACCCCAAAAAAATCACTAATTGGAGATTAACCTCAGAAATATTATAGAAAAAACAAGAACATTTCTGAGCTCCAAAGTCACACATTTGCTGGAAAAAACAACATTTTGAGATTGATATAAAACATATTTCCAGAAAAAAACTGGAAAGTTTGAGATTAATCTCAAAAGTTCTGAAGTTTTTGGAAGAAATTTACTCCTCTTCAGAACCAGAACCAGAACCGGGCCTATCTTGTCTGTTGTCCTTGCAGCTCCAGGTCAGGATGACTTCCCTTCTCGTGCCGCTCCTCTTCCTGTCGCCAGTGGTTTTCATCATGGCGGCTCCAGAACCAGCCGGCTGTAAGATCCGGATCACTGATAAAGGCCTGGAGCTGTGTGAGTAACCGGACCTGCGAACCGGGCCTGCGTCTGCAGAACAGAACCGACTCAGAGCTGATGGTTTTTTTAAGATCCATGTTTGAACTGCCTTGTTGATAAATTATCCCAATAATTATTGCAAAAAACGATAATATTTCCCAGTAAAATATAGCAAACAGTTTTTTCTCAAAGACCAACAGACTGGAACTGGAAGATATTTTAAATATCCAAAATAAAAATCAACAACCAAAACCAGAAAAAAAAATGATTATGAAGTCTCAGTAAACAAAATGTGTCTTTAAAAAATATATAAATAAAAATGGAAATTATTGCACTCGTTTTAATTTATCTTGTGATTAATTGACTCACTGAATATTCATTGATTAAATGTGAGATTAGTGAAGATGGATGAATATGAATTTATTTCAACATGATGTAAAAGGATGCAACTAAAACATACACTGCAAAAACACAAAACTGTAGTTTCTGGTGCAAATATCTGAGTTCACTTAAAATCAAACAAAACTAATTCATAAGTAATTATAAGTATACGTAAGATATAGAAGTTTGTTTTAAGTCAGTGTTGAGGAAAATAAATATTCTTAGTGTTTAATACAGTTAAATCTTATGACTTGAAAATAGTGGATTAAGTAAGAGTCCTTTGAATAACATCTTAGAGGGCTTTAAGTTGAAGGATGTCTGTTATCAGGGAGGAACCAGGCCATGAATGAACTTTGGCACAAAGGCAGCGAGGAGACATCTAAAGTCATCTCCCTCAGAGAAACACTAAAACTTCAGGACAAACAAAACTAACAACACAATACTAGCAATAATTGCAATTTAGTTAGTAGTTAAGAAAATAAATTTAAAGTATGCTAGTTTTAAAACTTAACATGTCTTGATTGAAATAGCCTAATTATAGTTTTGAAATTAGTAACTTATTCTGGCCTATTGACCTTTATGTTACCTGTAGTTACAGCAGATTGTCTGCTATTGTTTGAACTGCCATTTGTCTGTGTGGGAAACAATCAGGAGAAGTTCCAGCTTTTCACACTCATCTGTGAAAAGCCATAAAACAGCAGGAGTTCAGGAGAGTCTCTGCTCTCACTTTGTTTAAACAATGGGCACAAATGGTCTTAGACCGTGACTTGCAGGAAGTTTTAAAAAGGGTCAGAGACAGATCCTGGTTGGATGAGCAAAGATACGCCTTATTTGAATAAATTAAAGATAAGAATACGCCTTAACTATAAAACTTTCTACACAGAAGTAACAAATCAGATTTTGCTCTTGCAACTTCTCCAAAGACGTCTTTAATTTTTGTTTGTCGTTTCCATCTTTTGTCTTTTTCTCCCTCAGGTAAATTCATGTGTTGTTTGTGCACTGAGGTTTCTGATGTTTGTGCTTTTCTGGTCATAGTATGCATCTGTCTTGAATAAATGCTGATTATTGTGACGCTGTTATCTCTGCGTGATCTCAGTCTTTGCGCACAGCATTTTTCTGAACCCAGGCATAAGAGAGGATTTAACGAGCCAAAAGGTTTTAAAGTTTCAGAATTTTCCCTCTCTTAATAACACTTATCCAAACGGTTCCAAACTTTTTCTCCTGGCCCCCCCTGTGGATTACGATGGGGAGAGTTAGACTTTGGTCTTCTAATTGAAACGGCGTTTGTGACGAGGGGTAGAGAGACTCTTAGAGACTCCCTGTTATGCTCTTCAACCCCCCCCCCC